ACCTCCAGCCCCTCATTTTGGGGTGCTGGACAGGAGGTGAAGATCCAGCCCCTCAGCTCGGGGTGCTGGGCAGGGAGGTGAAGCTCCAGCCCCTCATTTTGGGGTGTTTTAGACCTCCAGCCCCTCAGCTCAGGGTGCTGGACAGGAGGTGAAGATCCAGCCCCTCAGCTCGGGGTGCTGGGCAGGGAGGTGAAGCTCCAGCCCCTCATTTTGGGGTATTTCAGAGCTCCAGCTCCTCCATTTGGGATGTTTTAGAGCTCCAGCCTCTCTGTTCAGGATGTTTTGGAAGCTCCAGCCTCTCCATTTGGGGTGCTTTAGAAAGGGGTGAATCTCCAGCCCCTCTGCCTGTCCCTTCAGCGGCCCAGCTGGGGCTCCAGAAAGCCCAACTCAGACCCCAAAAATCCCAGCTGGGGCCCCAAAAATCCCAGCTCAGACCCCAACAAGTCCAGCTGGGGCTCCAGAAAGCCCAGCTCAGACCCCAAAAATCCCAGCTGGGGCCCCAAAAATCCCAGCTCAGACCCCAACAAGCCCAGCCCAGACCCCAACAAGCCCAGCCCAGACCCCCACAAGCCCAGCTCAGACCCCCACAAGCCCAGCTCAGACCCCAACAAGCCCAGCCCAGACCCCAAAAATCCCAGCCCAGACCCCCACAAGCCCAGCCCAGGCCCCCACAAGCCCAGCCCAGACCCCAAAAAGCCCAACTCAGACCCCCACAAGCCCAGCCCAGACCCCAACAAGCCCAGCCCAGACCCCAAAAATCCCAGCTCAGACCCCAACAAGCCCAGCTCAGACCCCCACAAGCCCAGCCCAGACCCCCACAAGCCCAGCCCAGACCCCAAAAATCCCAGCCCAGACCCCAACAAGCCCAGCTCAGACCCCCACAAGCCCAGCTGGGGCCCCCACAAGCCCAGCCCAGACCCCAGCCCACCTTGTCCCTGCGCGGGGCCGAGCGCGGCCGCGGCGCGGGGCTGTCCGGCGGCGACGAGTCCACCTCCAGCGGCTCCTCCTCCTTGATCTTCATGTCCGGCGTGGGGGGCAGAGACACGTCCAGGGCCCCCGAGCTCTGCGGGGCGAGGGACAGTCAGACCGGGGGCACAGACAGACAGACAGACCTGGGGCACAGACAGACAGACAGACCTGGGGGGACAGAGAGACCCTGGGGGGACAGAGGGACCTGGGGGGACAGACAGACAGACAGACCTGGGGAGACAGAGGGACCTGGGGGCACAGACAGACAGACAGACCTGGGGCACAGACAGACAGACAGACCTGGGGGCACAGAGGGACCTGGGGGGGACAGAGAGACCCTGGGGGGACAGACAGATTGGAAGGACAGACAGCCATGGAAGCACAGATTGGAAGGACAGACAGCCATGGAAG